GAAACTTGTGCGAGCTAAGGATTAACGAGGTCTTACCTTTTAACGTGTGATTCCTAACACGGGTTGGACGATAGCAAGTGAAGATCGATGGTTCAGACTAGGGTTCGAACCACCGACCAACACGGCAGTCAATTCGAGTGAGTGAACAAAGCACCCACGCCGAACCGCTTGGCTACCGAACAACCGAGAACCAATTATTAACTGCGGATGATCACTTGGTGATCGAAACACGTCTCGAGGTGTTAAAATAACGGTTTGGTGTTGGGAAAAACTCCAGTAATATGCATTACTGTACCAAAGGTCCCAAAGAGTGCATCACAAGTAAAATTCACCGCAGTTTAATCTTCCTGTTCAAGATGATCACTTGGTGATCGAAACACGTGTTGTGGTGTTGAAATAACGGTTTGGCGTTGGAAAAAACTCCGGTAATATTCATCACTACATCGAATATTCCAAAGAGTTCATTACAAGTACAATCCACTGCAGTTCAATCTTCTCCTTGAAGATGATCACTTGGTGATCGAAACATGTCTCGAGGTGTATCCGAGTAAACCCGGAAAAAACTCAGGCGATAACCATGGGAAGATTACTATCTTCTCCGGCCAGAAAAGTGAGAATCTCTGGAAGGGAGATTGAATGGCAAGCGCGGGTAAAGTACTTCAGCCTTCTAATAGACCGTAGGCTCACTTGGAACCCGCACATCATGTGCGTTAAGTCAAAGATCGAGGGTCGGATAGCTAGTCTGTACCCTCTGGTCAATAGGAAATCTAAACGGAGCACAAAGAACAAAATCACTATCTAAAACACGATGTTCAAAGCCTGTCATCATGTATGCTTCAGGCGTCTGGGGACAAGAGGCTCCGTCCAACATTTCCATTCTGGAAAGGTTGCAAAATAAGTTAATTAGGATGATTGTGAATGCTCCTTGGTTCTTGCGAAACGAAGCCATCCGCAGAGATTTGCAGCTGCCTTCCATTTGGCAGTCCATCCAGTCGAGGAATCAGAGAGTTCTTGAAAATACGGAAACTCATGAGAACCCGTTAGTTAGGGAAGCCACAGATTATGCTGTAGACAACCCCTCCCGATATAGAAGGCCCCAACACTCTGTCGAATAAGGCCCTCATGTCCCCCGTTAACGGATGAACAACTTTCTCATCCATCCCACCCCAGCCAGGTAGGGGTATCCCGTGAAGGGCAGCACTGATGTCTGAGGACTTCATGCCGTCATACCATCAGTCATGAACCCATAGGTCAGCCAAAAGGGTAGGGGAGCTGGACACTAATCCTGAATAACACGAAGATGACCTTCCACGTCTCGAGGTGTTAAAATAACGGTTTGATGTTGGGAAATACTCCAGTAATATGCATTAATACATCAAAGGTTCCAAAGAGTGCATCACAAGTACAATCCACTGCAGTTCAATCTTCTACTTGAAAATGATCACTTGGTGATCGAAACACGTGTCGAGGTGTTAAAAAAATGGTTTGTGTTGGGAAAAAACTCACAAATTACAAATACAATTGCTAATGGTTCACTAGATCTCCTAACCAACCTTATCAATATGTGCTTCGGTACTTTTCACGATGTATTCCAAGCAACCAAAGTCATTCCGATTCACAAAAGTGGCGACAAAGACAACCCATCAAATTACCGACTTATTTCGATAACCCCGATTATTGGGAAGTTAATAGATAAACTTGAGGAAAACAGACTAATACTGTACTTGTAAAAAATAAACAGTTCGATTTAAGAAGTTGGCGATCCACGATTCAAGCCGTGGAGAGGGTGGTGAGCGATACAGTTGAGAGCCTTGAAGCAGGTAAAGTAATTGCTATGACACTTTGCGACCTCAGCAAGACTTTCGACTGTGTTTCTCATGCAATACTTCTTCAGAAACTTGAATATCACGGAATATGCGGAATAGGTTACGAATTTTTGTCCTTCTACCTCACCAACAGATTCCAGGCAGTGCAATACCAGAATTCTCAATCAGAGGTCCGATTCATCAAACATGCAGATGATGTAACCGAAGAAAATTCAATAGGAGACATAAAAAAATTGCACCTTGGGTTACTGATGGTTTATTGAACTCTATAAACAAAAAAATAAAATGAAAAAAGCTCTCCTAAGACAACCTGATGGTACTGAACTCAGAATTGAATTCAAAATGTATAGAAATAGACTAAACACTATCATAAAAAAACTAAATCAAAATATTATAAAGATCGAATAGAACAAAACAATCATAATACAGGAAAATTATGGGAAGTAGTACAAGAAATTAGTAAAACTGAAAAAACACACAAATATATTGACTTCGTTTTTGACGAAAGTGGGCGAGTGTTGACAGACAGAAGAGATATAGCCAACGAATTTAATTCCACATTTTCAGTTATGGGTAGGAAAATGGCCAACAGAATCAAAAAAGATCCAAATTTTGTCTTAAGACGAATAACTATGTCCAACTCGTTAGTCTTCACTCCGGTAGACTCAGCTGAACTCCAGATCATAATAGGAGAACTGAAAAATAAAAAGGCAGTTGGTACTGACAATCTCAGAGCTGAAACAATTTAAATTATATGTTATCATATTATTGACCTTTTGAAGCATATTGTAAACAAATGCATTGAACAAGGTACATTCCCGTCAGCATTAAAGAATTCAGTAGTAATTCCCGTACATAAAAAAGGAGATACTCAAGAAATAAGTAATTATCGTCCCATATCTTTAATAACCCATCTTTCGAAAATATTTGAATTTGAATATTCACTTGAAAAGTTATCAAAGAAAAACATTTTTCATTTTGTAACTTCGAGGGCACGTAACTTGGTTACGAAGACTTTTAGGAAAAAAAGTTAAATGAAGTACTGGTGATATTTTGACCCCATCTATACATTCCCGAGAGGAAAAGAGGAAGTCCAGGGACACCCTGTATATATGGTGACTGATCTTTTCAATACTGGATTGTGACATTTGAATTTCAATGGAAACCAACTAAGGAACGATTTAGTTGTTACATTGTGTGCGTCATTCCGATTCACAAAAGTGGCGACAAAGACAACCCAGCAAATTACCGACTTATTTCGATAACCCCGATTATTGGAAAGTTAATAGAGAAACTTGTGAAAAACAGACTAATACTGTACTTGGAAAAATATACAATTGTAAATAATATACAGTTCGGCTTCAGAAGTTGTAGATCCACGATTCAAGCCGTGGAGGAGGTGGTAGTGGGCAATATAGTTGAGAGCCTTGATGCAGGTAAGGTAATTGCTATGACATTTTGCGACCTCAGCAAGGCTTTCGACTGTGTTTCTCATGCAACACTTCTTCAGAAACTTGAATATTTCGGAATGCGCGGAAGAGCTTACGAATTGTTCTCCTCCTACCTTACCAACATATTCCAGACAGTGCAGTACCAGGATTATCAATCAGAGTTCCGAATCATCAAACATGCAGATAATGTAACCATATACGAATCAAATGTTGATAGGCAAATATTGTCAAATTCAATAAATTCACCCCCTCCCACTTTTCGAATTCACATCGACCATAATTCATTTTTCCTTTCATTTTTATCATATTCTCTCCTTTTCTAATGGGTTTCATCCTACTGTTATTTTTTTCGATTTCAAAAATTATCGACCCTGGTCTAGGAGTACAAAATTGATGTAGAATGAAATAAAGACTGATGAAATTATCAAAAATATCAATAATTCAATACATATGCTTACCAATTTGTTTTCATCCTTGAAGACGTTCAACATATCTGGATGGTTATATCCGATTGGAATTGATGCTATTTGCATGTACACATCCAAATAGGTGTTTCCATCAACATCAACCAAGTAATTTCCCGCACTTTTCTCATAATCGACAAACAACTGGACAGCTGAGCTTTGCTGTAAAAATAAGAAGTGTACGTGACATGAGGGAATGTTAATATACATTTTTTTGTCTCTGCCTCTACCAGAAAACATTTACAGAAGAAATGAGCCTGCAAGGTAGTTGCCTGCAAGATTACCCGATTTAAGGCTGTTAGATTTTTGAAGGAAAACTTGAAGACTACACCTTATGAAAAATATTGAGCTAGCATCTCTAGAGCGTTAAGGCGAAAAAGAATTGAAAAACAAAGAGTGACTAATAATGAAAAAAGTTCCATACAACCAGTTATATAATATAATTCCAAAAAGGTGGGCACCAAATTCTCAGAAATAACTGATACTTTTGCCTTAATCTGCCTCTTATACTAAATTGATAGAATGATGTTAAATATACAGGGTGTTTATTAAACATGCAGAGCTATTTCTTGGAGTATTTCAAGGATATTTGGTCCTTTGATGAGTTTTGAAAGGGCTGTTTGTTTCGAAGATACGAAGCAAAAAAGAATTTCGACAATAACAATTCATTACCAAAATTTACATGTAATGTTTCTCAATCTTCAAGAACTGTTGAAAATGACTAAACCCCCCTCCGATGCAATAATCCAATCTTTTCTTCATCGACTCCCGAACTCTTCTTTCGAAAACACCAGGATCGTTTCCGATTACGTTACACCCAGCAATTATCCGATTTCTCAAATCTGCCACATCTTCTACTGGAGGTTTATGTCCGGTGATCGAGAAGGCCATAAGTGAGGTCACTTTGATCAATTCAGCGATCTCAGTATGTTAATGAAACAAATTGAAGAATTGACTGTCTCAAACAAATTTATTCTCGACAATATTTCACTAATTACATACTAATTTATTTACAACACTTAGCAACTAATGCTTATTTATTTCCACTATTTGAATCTCTTGTTTAGCCGCTCGATTCATTTTCTGAACTCCTCCTTGGGTCGGGAAGCCGGACTTATATAGTGTAACGGTTCTTTCTCGAAGTTTGTAGTCGCTTTGATACTCGACTAGAGTTTTACCGGCGGTTGCCGCCTGCATTCCTTTTGCGGTGATGTCACGTGGTTGTTCACTGGCCGGCATATCGGTCAGGGAGCTGGAGCATTGAAAAGCCCGAATGGCATAACCGTGAACTGCCACAATCCTGAGCCGATGGTGAAAGCTGTCTTTTCTCGATCTTCTGGGGCCAATTCAACTTGCCAATATCCACTCTTCAAATCCAAAGTGAGAAAATTGTGAAGCCGGCTAGCGTGTCTAGGGTGTCGTCGATGCTTGGAAGAGGGTAGCTGTCTTTCTTCGTAACGTTATTTAGTTGGCGATAATCCACGCAGAACCTTGTCGAGCCGTCCTTCTTCTTCACTAATACGACTGGAGAAAACCAGGGCTGTCAGAAGGTTCGATGACTCCTTCTTTTCCCACATCGCTAACTATCTTGTCTGCATCTTCTTTCTTGGCAAGAGGGAGTCTGCCAACAACATTCGTTCTGCCGCCTTTTCCTTCTCCAAGAAGTACCAAGATTTCCTGGTACTTCTTGACTAATTCCCTCAATTTTGATCGGTAAGTTGGTGGTATGTCGTTCTCCAACTCTTCAGGCAAGTTATTGGCTTGGCTAACCGAAATGCGTACACTCCGTATCACAGAGGAAATGCACGAACAGTGCCCCACCATTGGTTCTTTCTTCAAGGTCACGGGAAAGTAGTTGACATTCATGACCCGGACCGACACAACTTTATCAACACGCAACGGGGTCTTCCCCAGTGCGATTCCTCGTCCAATTTTCTCATCAAGTATCTTGGGCTCGAACATTACCACCTTGCCGCTGCTCGCACTTCCGTCCAAGCGAACCTCCAGGATGGTTTCAGCCCTCTCAGGTACGCACACGTCTTCAGCCAAAAGGACCCTGATCATCTCTTCGCTTCTTTCATGGAGCACCAGCTCTTCTCCGCCGACACGTAGGACGCCGTCTTGAAAATTCAGCTCGAACCCTCTGGAATTCATCATGTCCATTCCAATGATCGCGTCGTCCTCAATTCCCGCCACCAATGTTCGATGGTTCAATTTAGTGCTGCCCAACATCAATTCAATTGGTAGTCATCCAAGTACAGTAGCTGGCTCCCCTGTTGCAGTGCGTAGCTTCCACATGCTCAATTCTCCAACAGTTCCAGAATCTTATTTATTTTCTTTCATTACCTTTATTACCTTTGTAATAGTGGTCTCAATATCAGCAGCCATCTGTCCATCTTCCTCGATAGCTCTTGCAGGATTGTTTTGCAACCGCAAAATCCAGAACGCTTGCCAGTGCATCCACGAGATGTTTGGAATGAGCTAGTGTCAAGACCTGCCTCGTTTTTTGGTCGCGCGAAGTCCGTCCAAGAATGCCTGAACTACTAACCGCTCCATTACATTTTCCGGTGTAGCGGGATATGCCAGACAAACCAATCGAGCAATGTCGGCTTCAAATTCCTGTAGAGATTCTCCTGATTTTTGGCAGCGGTTCTTCAGCTGTGAATGGTAAACGTGCTCTAGGTGTGCCTGTCCATACCGTAACTCAAGATGCTTTATAGTTTTGTCATAGTCTTCTCCACGCAACGCCAGTATTAATGCCACCGCCTTTTGTCCTGAATTCCATCCATTCGCTCTGGCTGCAACTTCGAATTGTCGGCGGTAATTTGCCCAAGGAGTTTTTCCGTCGAACTGGGGCGGCTTCATGGAGAGCTTTCCTGGTTCAGAACTGCCTTTGACATCTTTCAGTTCCGAAATTGAGTTTTCGGTAACAGTTTCTATGGTGTGGGCAGAATTAACGATTTCGTTTGGCAACTTGGTAATTGTTTCCTTCATCTTGCTGATTTCTGCCTCAAATCCGCCTTTGATTTCATCGCCTACTATTTTTTCATTCTCTTCATTTCTGCCCAGATTTCATCTTTGATCTTTCCTTTGATTTCCTCTACTTCCGTGTTCATTTCCTTCCTGATTTTGTCTATCTCTATCTCGATGGTTCCTATCCTTCCTTCGAGTAGACTCGAAGCCTTCTGTATTTTCTAGAAGCTTCTCTGAGAATACACTACAAAAACACACTTTTGTCTATTTTCCACTATATTTCTTTATTGTTGACCGGTTTCGGCTATTACACCATTTTCAAAATTAACTGATTACATTTAAATCTGAGTAATTTATACCTATGTTGCTTATTCTATCATAAATAATTTGATATACCTGATACCCGGTACCTGCGTTTCATATATACCTGTAAAATCCATGAACATAACAAAGCTTTCAATATAATGTAGGTTTTGGGATCTGGATTATAGGTTCGTGAGAGGACTATTATTTAAATCAAGTTGTTCGTTGAGGACAATAGAATTGGGATTTTTTTTGACCTGTTCATTTCCATAGATTCCAACATTTCGCATGTGTTTAGGATCTTTAAATTATCTTTATCTATTTTATATTTCGAATTTTGAAGATGTGACATGTTCGGATAAAAATTTATTTCCTTTCATTTTGATCATATTCTCCTCCTTTTCTGAAGGGTTTCATTCTTTTGGTTTCAAAAATTATCGACCCTGGTCTAAACACAGAAGTGCAAATATCACATCACATGATCAATTTGCTTCAATCTATTTTAAACAAATCACAAGTGCTACAAATCATAATAAATTTATTACTGATTGTGCTAATTGGTGATTGTGAGAATTGGAGATTGTTCTCTGTCGGGAATTATAGAATGTTACACTGTTCCAGCCAACAAATTGCTAGAGCTAGACTTTCAAATTCAGCTGGCCTAGCAAATGAGGACAATTCATAAATAGTCAGGTTTAAAACTGCCTTTCCCGTCAACTTTTATCTCCGCCTGCAAAAAATACGAACAATTCGATTCGAAATAGCGTGTAGATTATATTCGGAAAAATTCAAGTGCTGCTTGCAAACATTGCAAAAGTTATAAACAATTAGCTGAAAAAAATGGGGTTTGGTTTGATGCAAATATCTTAAAAACTGTTTGACATTTTTCAAATTAGAAAAAAGATATGAATAGAGGAGGAAATTTATCAACTTAAGAAAGAATTCGCTTGTTAACTTATTTTTTATTCATGATTCATAAAATTAATGATATCATGTAAAATTGTAAACTGAAATTATTGATGAATATATGTCGGATATACAGGGTATTCCATTTACGATGGTCTATTTGATGTATCTAGAGGTTACCGATGTAGATAGCTGTGAGCTATCGTTTAAAAATATTTTCATCACTGTATTGTTGCCACATCTACATGTGAGAGACATCAACTCGGAAATTTCAAATAGAACACCCCATACACGGGCCGTTTCTTTTATCATGGGGTAACATTGCTATATTCTAAACCGTAACAGATACGAAGACGATTTAATGGGAAAAAAGGTAACTGTCATCGGGAACAATACAATAATCCATGAAAATTTACGGGGAAAATTTACGCCCTACTTGAGTTATACGGGAAAACCCAAAAATGCTTGTTTTTCGGTTTTTTTTCGAATGGAATTGTTATTTCGGACAATATCAAAAAATGGAAAGGGAAAATTTTATTGTATTCACGTGTACTATCACGATGTAATAATGAATATTCGATAAAACGTTTCGTGTCAACAAGGTCACCATCAACTTTTTTTTTTAAATACGGACCTGTCTTTTCCATTACAGATATTGATAAAGCGATACATTCACAATCCAAGGATATATAACATTTGATATTTTTATGGCGTTTCATTTTAAATAACCACCATCATCAGTGACAACAATCAAACGAAAAAACAATTAATTTTATCATTGGAAAAATTAAACCAATACCGAAAATCAAAGCTACATGGCAATCTAAATTAAATGCTCGAGTTGACGACCTCTTTGTTAAATGCACATGAGTTGTCCAGACAATTTGTGTGGCAATTTTCTAGCATAATAGGTGTAATACTAATACATGCATCTCTAATTTTTTGTTTGAAATAGTTGATATCTGTACTTGGTGTTGAAAAAACTTTATCCTTTATGTATCCCCAGACAAAAAAATCTGGAGGAGTAAGACCTGGGGATCGAGTAAGACCTGGGGATCGTGCTGGCTAGTTAATTGGTCCATTGTTTCCAAATCATTTTCTTGGGAATATTGCATCTTAATGTTTCCTTACCATTACTGTATTATGGGAAGGATCGCCGTCCTGTTGAAAATATTATATGTCATGGCGGATATTCAGTGGTAATTCATCTGAGTAGCCATCAAATTCATTGAATAGAAAATGAAGATACATTTCACTATTCAAATGATCATCGTAATGCTTGAAAACAGGCACTTCAAGGTATTTCAGTTCCGTCTCCAGATGTTCTGGTTCACATATTCTCCGAGCCCGTTCCGTTAGAGTGGAGATGACTCCTCTCTTTTGGCTAGGATGGTGGTTCGATAGTGCGTGGTGTAATTTTGTTTGAAAACACAGAACTAATTGCCCCCAACCAGGGATACCATAGCCGACTGATACGGAAGGCAATAGAGATCCACAAACACACGGAGAATTTCAACAGAAAAGAAGAAGCGGTGAACCTCAATCGAATATGGAACCCCTTTTTAAGGAATTCGAGAATAACGAACAGAACGACAACAGGCAGCAAGATTGTTAATGTTCCAGGTTCAAGTACAGGTACAAGTACAGGGACAAGTGCAGGTACAAATACAGGTACCAATACAACTGATTACCTGACAAGGCATAAGTACGCTTTACGAAGCCTAAAAGTTAGTCATCGGACAGCAGCCATGATTGTTAAACCTCTGAAGAAGCTAGCCAATCGCGCCAGCGAAACGTCAGGAAGATATTCCAAAAATCCACGGCTTTAAAACTCGAAAAACAGTGACACTGACTCTTTGGTGTTCGCTTCAACTTAAGACAAAAAATGAAATACTCTAAAAGAGTTTCGATTTTCAATTATGGAATATCATTGACTTTAGGTCGATGATAGTCACTATCTTGCACTGACGAGTGGCTAAAGAGCCCGAAACCGGTCTGCAAGTGTGCCCGTTCCAAAATTGAAGATCGACTCTTTCAGTTGTATTGCCAATTGCATATGCAGGAAATTTTCTGTGAAGATTACTGCACTGACGCCTGTCGGATGTAATCCAACGCCGTTCAAGGTATTAGCCAGTGGAGTAGTTGTTTTCTGATAGGCGTCAGTCCATTCAACCTACTGTGTAGGTATATCCGAGATGGGCTTGAACATCTAAAGTTCATTTCTTTAGAATACAAATTTCATTCATTTTATTCATTTAGCAAAACATTTTCCTCCAATTTCCAAAATTATTTCAATTGCAAGTTTGGACTTTGTTCTCACAAAGTTAGTAAAATTTGTGAAAATTAAAATGTTTATGACAGCCTTAGATTTCTTTTGACTTTTCACCAAAAACTCCCTCTACTGGAAATGTTTTCTGCTAGGGTACAATTTGTACAAATACTTACCGTTACAGCATCTAATTCACCAATCAGCTTTTTCGATTTTGGACCAGGCACTTCAGAAGTAACTATTTTGGGTTCTTTTGGTTCGCCATGATTCAAACTTGATGCCGATCTATTGCTCCCTGAAAAACACAATAATGTTTTCAAAGTAAGTTCATGAACACATAAACAAACAACAACATATTATGTATAGTTGATATACACGTTTGGTATATATGAAATTTTCAAAACAAGTGACAGGGAAAGAAACACTTATTTTCCTATTTTTTGTCACCTTGTTTCCTTATTTTTATCGATAAGTCTTGAACTATGAAATAATTTCTTTTAAAGTTCTCTCGCAACTTTGGAACGCCAATCCAAACTACAAAACTGTTCAGTCATGTTTATTTATACGGTGCAAATAATCTTTGCATTATCCTTCACACATATGAAGCTTTACTAAGAAGCATTCCCTGAGAATGCTGGGTTCCGAATATTATGTTGGATAAAAAGTTCGTCGGCTGACATAGAGATGGCGCTAGTAGTACCGCAGAATTATTCGTTGAGAGGTCGGCGTTGATGAATGACGCGTATGTTCTACTTGTCCCAAAAGTCCATATACTTTTTGGTGGTGAGAAGTTTGTGGAACAAATTGAGACATTCAGGTAAATAATTTCAATTACCCATTCATTTATCATGATAAGAGCTCAATAACTATAGCATACTAATTTATTTTTGTTAATTATAACAATTTTGAGATAATAGCACAAATTTGTGGGGTGAGATTGTGCCATTCAGTGGCACAACTTGAGTTCTCATATAAATTCGAAAGTTATAGATCTCTGCTATGAAAATGGCATATCCTTCATTTGTTTAAAGGTGATTGACAATGTTTCATGATGAATTTCACTAATTCGGAGTTCCATTGTCTAATATATAAAATGATTTGAAATCCCTGAAACAACTAAAAAAAGAGAATTAAAAATGAATAGCTGAAAATAACAATTATATTAAGCAAGAATAACCTGAAATGAANTGTAAAGAATTCGTCCTTCAGTTGGAAATAACAGTTTCGTACACAGCATCCTAGTAATTCCATAATTACTTCTATAGGTAGATTCGTTCTCTCTTTCAGGTTCCCGTCTTCGGATAGCTTTCTCTGTATGATTTGGAGTGCTTCTTCGACCGGAACGTTGGTGTAAAGGCTTTCCACGTCGAAACTAATTAGTTGATCTTCTTGTGTGACTTCACAGTTCTTCACAAAAGACAATAATTTTTCTTGTAATGGTTGTATTATGGAAAGGAAAAATCTAGAAAAGTTTTGAGTAGCCGATTCTCTGGAGCTGATAATCGGTCTAAGCGGAACGTCCTTCTTGTGGATTTTGGGTAATCCATACACTTGAGGGGGCTTACTGTGGTGCGGTGTTAGCGATGATCTTTCCTTGTCCGAAAAATAGATTAGGAGTCCCGTACGATCTTTGTGTATCGTCCCTTCTGAAGAACATCTTCGATCTTCTGTTCGTAGAGAACAGTATCCATTACCACAGTAGCGTTTCCTTTACCTGCAGGTGGAATCTTGATTGTGTTGTCTCTGCGTAGTCCGTTCAGAGCTCTACGTTCTTCATTGCTGATGTTAGATGTTGGAATTGGTTCTCCATCCAGCTGTTCTCTGATTTTCCATCTGAATTCTTCTGCCTTGGTTTGATCAATAAGGAAACTGGTGAATTCCACTGCAGTAATTATCTCCAAAGTTGGCACAGATGTTGGTTCAATGGCGAAATTTAGGCCTTTCCTCAACAAGGATTCCTCTATTTCCGTTAGCGGGCGGAAACTCATGTTGATGACGTTGACGGCTTCATAGTTGTCCTATTTTCGGTCTACAGGGTGTTCCTTAAACACATGCTAATATTTAAGGAGGTGATTCTTAAAGCCATTTTAAGAAAAAAACTTCCTATGGACGTATGTCCTAAACGCCTTAACTTTTGAGATACAGGGTGGCAAAGTTTTCAAAAATAATCAGTTTTTTAATAATAACTGAGATAATTTTGTAGACATCTTTGGCATATTTGGTACATATGTTCCATGCCTCAAGGCGCATTTTCTGATGTACA